GAGAGGGAGTTTCCCAAATCCCCGACTGTGGGGGGGCCCACCCTCAGTACTTCCGTCTTGTCCGGGTTCAGCCTAAGTCCGTTCTCCTGCATCCATTCCAGTATAGTCCCCAGGCAGCGCTGGAGGCACAGGACGGCTTCTCCTGCGGTTGGCAAAAAGGAGATGTAGAGCTGCGTGTCGTCCGCATACTGGTGACACGAAGCACCACACCTCCTGATGACCCCACCCAGCGGCCTCATATAGATGTTAAATAGCATTTAATAGTACCTCTCTGCTCCTGATACCTTTTTCTTGTGTATGTTTTGTTGTCTTGACTTGAGATACATAGAAATGATTCAAAATATGTAACCAGCATGACTTAAAAATAAATGGACTCTGAGAAAGTCTGACAAAAGCTGACATAAAAATAAGAAGCAATGTTCCTTATACTGTAGAACCACCTCATAATTAAATCTTATCAATTAGACATGTACTATCAGCTCACAGTATACAAATACTTCAGAGTGCACCTCCTCACTGTGGTCCGGATGGAGAGCTGGATGCACTGGAGGGTGCCAACAGCTTGAAAGTCTTACCATCGAAGCAGCAGCTGGACTTGTGTACCTTTGGCTCCTGCCATTCTAATGGCACAGGCTTACTACCAGAACTTTCAGATAGGACTTTCATTGTGTAATTGCCTTGTCTCGTTTTCATAATTTTACAGGGAATCCAAGCATCCCTGGCTTACATTATACTTCTGCCATTTTTCCTATTGCTTCTTTTTTTTTTAAAAAAAATTACTACACAAAATCTGTTAAAGAGGAAAAACAGACCAGCTGCACAATGTCTTTAGGCTGGCAGTGCTAGCAGCCACCCATATGGAAGCACCCTCTATGGCTTGGGAATGTGTCCAGAGCTGGCCACACACCACAGTCAACGAAAGCATTTGCTTGAGGTCAAAAGTAGTGCCAAATGACAATGGAACACCACATAACCCCAAAGTCATGTCTCAGTATCTCCTGTAGTGTTCTTTATGGTTTAAGTTGAGTTAGGGAAATGAATTAGTTTTGGGTCTACCCTAGATGGTGGGCAATGCATTAGTAATGCACAGAATGTTCATTAGGATAAATGAAGGTATGAATTTGTCATACACTGTGGTGTACAGGGGGGCGTGGTGGCGCTGTGGGCTAAACCGCAGAAGCCTGTGCTGCCGGGTCAGAAGACCAGCAGTCATAAGATTGAATCTACGCGACGGAGTGAGCTCCTGTTGCTTGTCCCAGCTCCCGCCAACCTAGCGGTTCGAAAGCATGCAAATGCAAGTAGATAAATAGGGACCACCTTGGTGGGAAGGTAACAGCGTTCTGTGTCTAAGTCGCACTGGCCATGTGACCACGGAAGATTGTCTTCTGACAAAAAAACAACCGCTGGCTCTATGGCTTGGAAACGGGGATGAGCACCGCCCCCTAGAGTCGAACACGACTGGACAAAAATTGTCAAGGGGAACCTTTACCTTTACCTTTTTTGTGGTGTATAGGATTTTTCTGACAGTGACTTAAGTCAGCATGGACAACTTACGTAGATTTTCAGGAGGGGGGAAAAAGGCATTTCCCCTTCTAATCTGCAGCTGGACAATATTGGTATTTACTGACATATTATAAGGCAAGCATTTGAGACCTCCAGAACTCTTCTTCAGGCATAGACATTGCAAAAATAAGGGGCTATTGGCTTCCTCTTCAGTTCTCCAAATTGTATAAAATCTATGCAAGCAAGAGTTCTGGAGGACTCAAAAAGTTCACTTTGCTCTCCATGCATATGAGAAAGTGGACTGTAATCCACAAGAGCTCACAGGGAAATAAATCCACTAGTAGCTGAGGTACCATAAGATTTCTCAAATTTTTTGTTATCCATGCTGAAACAGATGAACACTGGTACCTCTTTGAAAATCCCATTGTTAGCTTTCATTTATCTAGTACAGTGGTGCCTCTCTTAACGATGTTAATTCGTTCCAGAGAAATCACTGTAGAGCGAAAACGTCATAAAGCAAAATTAAAAAGCCAATTAAAATGCACTGAAAACTGTTCAATGCGTTCCAGTGGGCTGAAAACTCACCATCCAGCGAAGATCCTCCATAGGGGCAGTCGCAAAAACATCGTTGTGAAGCTGATTCGTTGTTATACGGGGTAACCGTTAAGCGGGGCACGACTGTACCGGTATTTATTACCCAATGCAGAATTTTGTTTTTACTCATAGATTACATGGCTACTTTTTAAAAAAGAAAATCCCTCTATAGGAGCTCTTTATGCAGAAAAAAAATCCTTCTCAAAATAAGTAACACCCACATTTTGTGTAATTCTAGCATTTCCCCTAGTTTCTTTTTGCAAGAAAAGTTGACTGTCATTCGTAAGTAGTACTACAACTGAAACAGATTGACTGGCTGCATAAAATTATCTCAGGTAGATACCAGACAACAATAATAACAATAACAAAACACCACCCTTCAGTCTTCTTCCCTGGCAATGGAATGAAAGCACTGAAGTTAGGAATCCATTTCCAAGGCAAAAGCACTTTCAAAACTGTGACAGTTTATGACCCAGTTAACATAGCTCGTGATCCAAGAGGTATGTATGAAACAGGGTAAGAAAAACAGGGTAAGAAAACACCCCATATGAGATTTCAGA